TGGGCAGTAGCTTCCGATGAAGGTCACAGAAGAAAGTTGTATTCTGTCCTTGAAACTTGAAGGGAAGCCGATACAGACCTGCTTGCGTTCAAACCACCTTGTGCTGTGGCTGCCAGAACTTTCTGCTGACCTCATCCAAGCTTGCAGTTCCTGAAAACGCTGTGGCATCCTTCATGCGAGAGAAATGCTGAGCTCTAGCTACCTTCTGGCACATCCTGCTCCTCTCCACTTTCCCTGCTGTCCAGCTTTGTAGGATAATCTTGTCTTCCTATCCTTAAGCCAAGCACAGTCCTGCTGTCCCTGAGCCAGTCATGTTTCAGTTGTAGACAAAGTTTTATAGTTTCTCTTTAGTTTGTGGGTGCAGGACAAAAGTAATTTGAGATCTTGGAGTGTTTTGGGGTGCTGTGACCCTGGTGTGTGTTGTGATGCTTGTGTGCCCTGTGGATGGTGGGTAGACCTGGTACTTCCAAAGTGTGGAGCCTGTTCATTTGTCTCTGGCTGGAACAGAGAGAGTGTTTGGCCCTCAGTGCAGAGTGGGGGATAGAAGTTGTGCTGGATTTTAATCTGCCATGTGAAAGTAATTCTAATTTGAATTGTTGTTTTGTGTTGAAGTGCCTGAGTGGTGGGCAAATATGCTACTGCATGGGTGTTATGGGAGAGCTTTAGGCAGAGGAGACAGGCATTTCTGTGTCAGGGGAAAAAACAGAAGCTTCTACCTTGGTTTGTCCTCCACAGCAGCTTTTCTCCTTTACCACAGGAGAGGTCTAGAGAGTCTTGAGTCCTGTGCCCTAGCGGGATGGAGTGTGGGGTGTCATGCACCCAGTGGCCTGTTGCATGGCCTCTTGCCAGTGTCCTTCAGAGAACATGAGGACTGGTGAATTGCCAGCTCTTAGCAGTGCATATCTTTCTCTCTGGCTCCTTGAAAAGCAGGATATGATTTCAGGATGGTATAAATCAACTGGTCACTCGATATAATGGCAAAGTAAAGTGGTAACAGGTGCCTAGGGATAACTCGTACACATACCACTTCTCGCTTTCCTCCTTCTCAGAAAGCCCTTCCCCAGCATGGCAGAGACATAACTTTTTCAAGCAAGGAATTATCAAAGGGATCCCTTACAAAAAGCAGCTTTCAGCTTCTCTTGCTGAGCCTGAATGTTGCTGAAGCAGTTTATAACTGCATGTTCCCTAAAGAGCTTTGCCTTAATGGAGCTGACTGTCCATGCTCCTTCTGGCTTTTTCTTCTGCTTGAACATTAAAGCTTTTCTTGCTGTTGTTTTTAACCTGACAGCAACTTGATCACTCGCCCCGAGTTCAAGTTGACTTTTTTTTCCTCTCTTCACTCAAAATTGTCAGAAGGGAAATCTCTTCTTGCTGTTTTCTGTGTTCCTGGTAACTGATGGCTGCTTTGTGGCAGAGCAGCTGGCCCCTTTTATGACAAGCTGAGATGTCTCCCTCACTGGTACCTCCTTTCTCATTTCCACCACATTTAAATGTTCTGGATGGGGAAGGTGGGTAATAACATCTTCCTCCCCTGCTGGCCTTTGTCTCCAATTAGCTACCACTCAAAGAGACATCTTTCACTGCAGCACTGATCAGATGATATGGGAAGAGATACGTGACCGATGTTTTTTAGTATCTCGGCCCACCCAAGGGTGTATGAGCTCTCTCTACTCCCCAGCAGAGGAATCCCTGGCATGTGAGGATGGAGGTGGCTCCCAGGGAAGAGGTTTTGAAGAGGACACAGTTCGCTCCTTTGCTTCCCCCCCCACCCCCTTTTAGGAGGGGATAGGAAATGGGTTCATGTTCCCACTCCCGGCAACTGAGCAGTGAAAATTGCCTCTTGGGAAATGTCAGCAGCAGAACAGCAGAGGGTACTGCAGGGCCAGCTTGTTTTGACAGAGCTGCAGGGGAGCGATGCGCACATCAGCCACCATCTCCCAGGCGCAGGCTGCGGTAACGGTAACGGGGAAGTAACACAGCCGTGCACAGGCTGAGTTTTGCCGGTGGGTGAAGAGCCGCAGAGCCATGTGACAGATATCGATGTATGCAAATGTCAAGTGAGGAAAATACGCTTTACTTCCTAAAACGGCGGGCCCTGCTTTGTTGACATGGCATACTGCATCCCAGGAAGGGAAGCAGTTTGTTGAATGTCAAGAGTTATGACCTTTTGTCTGGGAATTTCCCGTGGTGTGCAGAGCATCGCAGTCGTCTGGGAGGAAGATGGAGGTGTGCCTTGTGTGACTCCTTCAGGGCCTGTCCCCTGTCCTGGGCTGGCCCAGAGGAAGCTGTCTGCCCTGTGCTTGTGTCTCCTGTAGGAACTGAAGTGAAACCAGCACTAACTGGCAGCCATTGAGTTTGCCTTATTGCAGCAGGCCAGCTGTTCAACTCGCCTGGGCTTCAGCATCTGAGAGCGAGCGACCTGAGATAATGCCTTGGAGAAAGCACAGGGAACCTGATTGGAGAAAGCTGTGCTAATTTACCAGAGAGAGACGTTTTCTTGTGACAGCCAGTTGCTGCTAATTTAGAGTTTTCAGCTTCCTTGTACCCTTCACTTCAAGACAGAGCAAAAACTGGTGACATGCAAGGAAAAGGCACTGGATGCTCCTCTGCCTTGCAAGTGATCTTGCTGCTCCAGCAAGACAGAGCCTTAAGGCAAAAAAGAAAATAAATAGCCTGGACACAACGAGATGCTCTTGAGGGCTTCTGCAGCCCCTTGTTTTGCCTCCATGAAGAAAGCTTGACAGTATGCCCCAAGATGGTGTTCCATGGCTTTGAACAGGAGAACATCCAGCCACTTCATGGCTGAGCCATCGTGAAGATGGTCTCCCACCAGCTGGGCCACAGCCAGGCAGTGAGGTCAGGCTGTGATGCTGTGCAGGTGGGTGCAGGAGGTGAGGACCTGCCGTGGCGTGGCCCCCTGAGGAGAGCTGCCATTTCTTCCTTCCCAGCCCACCTGACAAGATGGGGTGCACAAAGCCAGGACCCTGCCCTCTGCTGACCTATGTTGTGTCAGAGTATATAAAAAATTATAATCATTATCAAATAGGATGGAGATATCTCTTGTTTGTTTGCTTTTCTTTTCATTTTTTCCCTTGCATGGCAATGCTGTAACTCTTTCACCAGCTTCAGGCCTGAAATACCCCCCTTCAGAGCTTGACGTGGGACTCCTCACCCTGCCACTTGAGCACAGGCAATGGTGTTAGTGGATGGTGGTTCTCACTAAAAAGGGAACTGCAAAGTCTCCAGAAACGCTTGTTGCTAAGCTGTAAGGGTGTTACCGCAGACAACCCCTCTACCAAAGTCCATACTGGAGCCATCTGTAGAGAACCAGATATGTTTTCCTTTGGGCAGTTGCCATCTGTCTGAATGCTTTATGGCTTTTCACTTTAGTATTAAGGTCTCTCCAAGTTAATCAGTAAACGTGCTTTGCTGTATTTTACTTAATGCCTTCTGAAGTGCCGGTAGCGGGCTGAGTGCTTCTTCCTTCTGCTTCCACACTGGGACATGTCTCAGTTGTGAAGGAGCCCTGGGTCGGAGTGGGACAGCCCCTGTGTGGGGCTAATGGCGTGGGGCAGTTCCCCCATGCCCCCCCAGGAGGGTGGATTCCCTCCCACAGAGGCATTGCTGGCATGGTTGCACGCTGGGCGGAGGGTTTATAAGTGATGGCATGGGGTGCGCGGTGCTTCTTGGGAACTTTGGCCCTGGAAGGGGGATGGCACCGGGGCGGAGAAGCTGCCACAGGGGAGCGTGTTGTGGAGAGGGCAGAGCGGTGTGTGCTGCATGTGTGGAGCTTGGAGGGGATCTCTGCCCCTCACCTGCTGCTACGCAGAGGGTTTTGTGCTCCTGGGAGGAGAGGACAGCCTCGGTGTTGCAAAGGGCTTTTGGGTGACCTTGTTCTCCTGCCCACCTTCACCCCAACCTTCACTTCCCTAAACAGCAGAAGGTGAGCACCTTTTCTTCTTTCCTTGGGTGAGCTTAGTTATTTATTTCTTTTTTGTTGTTGTTGTCTTTTTTTTTTTGGATTATAGTCTTCAATAATTTCTCCGCCTGACAGCAGCTCTGCGCTCCCTGCCTGGGCTGGAGGAGGGGAGGTGGTGTAGGGAGAGGATGAAGGCAATATTTTGTGGTGTTTGGAGGGAAGGGCTCTGTACTGCTGGCTGCTTGCTGGCCTGACATGGATCCGTCATGATGGCGCAGTATTACCAGTGGAGACAGCTAGGCATTTATTTTAGCTGCTTTGATCCAGATGTAATAAAACCTCAGCATCTCCTCCACAGAAAACAAAAACCAAAGGGCAACATTTGGAGATACAGTGGATTTGAGATGGATGGGAGAAAAGTAAAAGTGACAGATTTTTTTTTTATTTTTTTTTTTTTCCTGCTCCCCATGTGAACTTGTTGGGTAGCATTTCCTCAGAACAAGGGTGGTTTTGAAGGGTGTGTGTTGAGCAAACACAGCAAAGGTCTATGGAGTGCAGGTGTTTCACTGGCTCTGGTAGCCTGGCTAATGATATTGGTCCTTTAAAACTCTTTAACACCAGTCATGTTTCAACTGTGTACTCCCTATTCGCTCTCATCCCTCCTGGTCTCTCTTAATCTCCCAGCTCTCTGGTGATGCATGGCATGAGGAGGGCTATGTTCATTTTGTTTCAATCAATGAATAGAGACAAACCTGCCAAGTGCAGTGAGTTCACTGGGTCATGAATTCTTGTTATTCTGACTTTCCTGTCTTTCTGCTCTGTTACCAGTGCCTTTCTTGTCTTCGAGTTTATGAGAGACTGATCTAGAAGAGCTTCAGCTTGGTGTAACCCAACTGAGGCAAAATGCCCACTGAATATGGCAGGGGATGGGAGGAGCAGTTCTTGAATCCAAGTCCTGAAAGGTGCAAGCTGAGTTTCACCAGCTTTCAGCCATCCCCAACCTGCCTTCCTACTAGTGGTAAACTTTTTGCACCTTGGTAACTATTGAATGTGACTTTCCTTCTCATGGCTTTTCCACAGGATGAAGATGAGACGCCATAAGCTCTTTCTGACTCTCTGCATGGCTGGTCTCTGCCTCATCTCCTTCTTGCACTTCCTCAAGGCCCTTTCCTATGTCACCTTTCCCCGGGAGCTGGCTTCGCTTAGTCCCAACCTCGTCTCCAGCTTCTTCTGGAACAATGCCCCCGTCACACCTCAGGTCAGCCCTGAGCCAGGGGGTGCAGAGTTCCTCCGCACACCCCTCTACTCCCACTCCCCCTTGCTCCAGCCCCTGCCCCCCAGCAGAGCCAGCGAAGAGCTGCACAAAGTGGAGTTTGTGCTGCCAGAAGACACAACAGAGTATTTTGTCCGTACCAAAGCCGGCGGCGTTTGCTTTAAACCGGGCACCAAGGTGTTGGAGAAGCCACCCATGGGAGGGCGGCCGGAGGAGCGAGCGGATGGTGCAGCCTCGGGGCGGCCAGCTCGCAAGCCGCTGAGCGCCAGCAGGACCAAGCGGCGCAAGTGGGTGGAGTGCGTGTGCTTGCCGGGCTGGCACGGCCCCAGCTGCGGGGTCCCCACTGTGGTCCAGTACTCCAACCTGCCCACTAAGGACCGCCTTGTGCCGCGGGAGATCCCCCGGCGGGTCATCAACGCCATCAATGTCAACCATGAGTTTGACCTGCTGGACGTCCGCTTCCACGAGCTGGGAGATGTGGTGGACGCCTTCGTGGTGTGTGAGTCGAACTTCACGGCCTACGGAGAGCCGCGGTCCCTCAAGTTCCGCGAGATGCTCCTCAACGGCTCCTTCGACTACATCCGCCACAAGGTGCTCTACGTCTTCCTGGACCACTTTCCCCCTGGTGGCCGCCAGGATGGCTGGATTGCTGACGATTACCTGCGCACCTTTCTCACCCGGGATGGCATCTCCCGCCTCCGCAACCTGCGCCCGGATGATGTCTTCATCATCGATGACGCTGATGAGATCCCCGCCCGTGACGGTGTGCTCTTCCTCAAGCTCTATGACGGCTGGACGGAGCCCTTCGCCTTTCACATGCGCAAGTCACTATATGGCTTCTTCTGGAAGCAACCGGGCACCTTGGAGGTGGTCTCAGGCTGCACCATGGGGATGCTCCAGGCTGTCTATGCTACCGACGGGATCCGTCTGCGGCGCCGTGAGTACTACACCATGCCTGGCTTTCGGCAGTATGAGAACAGCACTGGCCACATCCTGGTGCAGTGGTCGCTGGGCAGCCCCCTCCACTTTGCTGGCTGGCACTGCTCCTGGTGTTTCACCCCAGAGGGGATCTACTTCAAACTGGTGTCGGCCCAGAATGGGGACTTCCCCCGCTGGGGTGACTACGAGGATAAACGAGACCTCAATTATATCCGAGAGCTGATCCGGACTGGTGGCTGGTTCGATGGTACTACGCAGGAGTATCCCCCCGCTGACCCCAAGGAGCAGATGTACGCTCCCAAGTACCTGCTCAAGAACTACCAGCGGTTCCGCTACCTGTTGGAGAACCCCTACCGAAAAGCAGAGGGTGCAGCATGAGGCCACTGGGGTTTGTGTCGGAAATCAGAACTTCATGATAAAGAGAAAGAGTCGAGTGTTTTCGTCTGTTCCTTCCTTTTTTGTTTTCTTTGGTTCTAGGTGGGGTGTGCCATTTCTCTGGGGTCTCTGCCCTCCCTCCCTCCCTCCCTCCCTTCTCCTCTTCATCCCAGGCTGACCCTGGGGACATGAATTCCTCAGTTATGTGAAGGGCAGGAGGAGGAGAGATGTTGGGGACCTACTCTGGCAGTAGCATAAAGACTTTCCTGCATCTCCCGGACCTTTCTTGCTGGCTGGAGGGCATCTCTGCAGCCAGCTGGTGGGTTTTCCTCTGGGGGGAGGTTGGGTGGGTCCCATGGGGAGAGAGGGCAGCTGTTCCTATCCACCCTTGTCCTCTGTGGATTGGAGCAAGCACAGATGCGAGCCTGGGCTATTCAGTGAGCGTGTGAGTCAGCAGGCACAAAACGATGTGAGCAGTCACGTGCGCAGATGTGTGTCACAGGCATTTTTTGGATGAGTGAATGTGCCAAAGCATCTCAGTATGCTGTTTTTTGTGTTGGTTTTTTTTAATAACTCTCTATTCAAAGAGTATTTTGGGGAAGGGAAATCCTTTGCTGCCAAGGTGTTCTCCCCAAGATGCAGCCTCCTCCCACAGGCTTTAATGCATCTGTCCTAGGCTGTGTTTTGGCCTGATGCTCTACCAGTCCTGAGGCAGGCAGATGGGAAGCAGAGGAGAAAAATGTTTGGTTTTTTTGTTGTTTGGGTTTTTTTTGAATTTTATTTTTCACTCTGTTTTCACCCCTTCACCCACAACACTGCACTGGCTTGGCCCACAGAAGCTGGAGCATCTTTCCTGCAGTACGTGCCTCCACTGGGGCTGGGATAAGCTGCAGGAGGCTTAATCAGATGGTGGGAGTATATGTTTACAAGTGCATGGTTTCCTATGTGCATGAGTGCTAACATGCATGGTTTTGGTATGCACGTGGGCGTTTGTTACTGGTGTCGGGAGGGAAGGGGACATAGCTGGGCTTGGGTGTGTGTGCTTTCAGGAAATGGTGGGATCCAGAAGCTGCGGTCTCTGTCTCAGCATGGATCGCTTTTCGGGGAATTTGTCGGAGAGGACCCGGGGGAACATTGGTTCTGCATAGCAGTGCCACACACATGGGAATGTTGCATGCCTCTCTGGCTGCCTCTGCAACCCTGCAGGCTGCGCCTGTGGCAGGATGGGTGCTTACACGTTCTGGCTATTCCTTCTTGCCGTGCGGTAAAAGGGAGAGAGGAAGGGCAAAGCTCTGAGTCAGCAGTGGCTGTTGTGGGGAAACACAAAGCCTATCAAAGTACAGGATCAAGAGGGCAAGAGACTGTTCTGGGGCCACCGTACAATCCAGGGAGCATGTGCAGCCCACACACGCAGACAAAGCCATGCATTGGAGAAGGCTTCTAGGAGGACACTGGTTGCAGCTGGTTGGGCCAGTGTCTGCTTAGAGTTTGCCAGTGATGGGTAGTCAGGATCTGGCCTGTCGCAGTATCGGGTTGATTCAGCTCACTGAGGAGGTAGATGCATGTCTCCACCCTTAGCAGATGGCTTGACAGGGTGCCCAGACCTTGGGCTATAGCGGGCAGAGGGTGAAAATCATGATAAACTTACTCTGTTAGCCATGCAATGGGAAGGTTGGATTATGTTCCAAGCAGAGATGTGAGGCTCGTATGGAGGAGGAGGAGGAGGAAAATGTTGTCATAAGGAAGAGTGACCCTGACATCAGGCCAGCTGTGCTGAAGCAGGAGGGTTTCCACTGCCATTAACTCATTCCATCAGGGCTTCATATTCCTGTGTTGTCCACCCCATTCCCACCCTTGTGCTTTGTTCTTATCTCTGTTTCTCTCTCTCTTTCTCCCTCCTCTGCCCCTCTCTAGAGAAGTGAAAAATATCACCAAAAATAACTTGATTGCCTAATAAGACTGAGACTGAAACAGAATGAAGATGAACATCTTTTTCTGATCAAACTGAGATGGAGCTCATCTTAGCTCCTTCTGCATCTCACATGCCATAATGCACAGAGAAAAAGGACCCTCTTTTGTTGTTGTTGTTGGTTTCACTTGTTATTTTAAATCACTGTTCTCACTTCTGCTGTGTCTTCTGCACAGGTAAAAAAGCCCCTTTGGGAACTGAGTGGAAGGAGAAGCTTTGGTAGGCAGAATGCTCTTCCCTCAAAGGGAAGCTGTGGCTCTTCTACGTCCAGACTTGATGTGGCAGGAGTCTTTTCACGGTCACAGGGTCCTTGTGCCAAGTGGCTGTGTGGAGGTCTTGGGCATAGAGATATTGTAAAGAAACAGGGACACAACTGAGAAAGGAGAAGCCGTTGAGCAAGATGAGAGCAGTGGCACTGAGGCTGCAGCACAAGGGAAATGTGCTTTCCCCAGGGGCAGCCAGAGGAGAGCAGGTATGTTAGCTCATGGGATTTGGTAGCAGAAAAGCATGGAAGGAAGAAGCTATTTTTTCATTTTTACTCTTCAATGGGAGCCTGTGATCTACTCTCAGACCTTTGGCTTTGCCTTATCTCAGTCACAGCAACACAATCCCTGTGCCAAGCCTTGCTGAAGACGGGGGAAGAAGTCAGTCTTTGCACGGTTGCTTTGGCAGCACTGGGGCCCTGTGAAGCAGGGCGTGCGTGCTGGGGCTGCACCTCATTATCTTCTGCAGTGGGAACAGCCTCTCCCCTGATACCAGCCCTTCCTGTGCACGGGCGTCCTTGGGGATTTTTAGTGCACTGCAAGTCACATTTTCATCACTGAGGTATGGACCTTGCCTCTTGGGAGTTTCAGATGAGCCCACAGCTGCACTATCTGAATCTCCTCCTCCTGAAGTACAGCCTGTTGCCTGCTCTTCTCTCTCCTTCATTATTTGCTCCATCATTCTCTGCCTGTCCCTCCAAATTGCCTCTCCCTCCAAATTGCCTCTCCCTTCTTCCCCTTGGGCAGGAGGAGAAGGTCTTGCTGGAGGAGCAGCACTGAGGCTCTCCTGCAGGATTCTGGCCCTGTTCTCCTCCTGGACTTGCTTCCTTACTCTTAGGAAATTAAATTTATAACAGACTTCTGTTGTGGTGGGAAGAAGGGACTTCACAGATGAAATGCATTCTTTTTCTTTTTTTCCTCTTTCTCAAGAATCGTTTCAATATTTTTTTGATTAAAGGCCAGACCAGTCAATGTTTCTGTCTAATTTGTCTGGCTCCTTAGGGAGCTAGTGTGCTTGTCATTAAAAATCTTCCTCTTGTCCCTGGAGGGGACGAGGACTGGCAAGCTTACTTTTGCACAGTGATTTCCCAAGGTGGTGGCTTGCCCTCTATCTGGCCTTGCCTTTAATGCTGCACCAGGACCTCTGCAGCCAGCATGCAGAGGGGATGGCCACCCCCTCACAAATGACCTTTATGAGATGAACCCGAAAGCCTGTGGGTGTGTAGGGTGGTGAGAGAGGCAGAGGAGGAGGCAGGTTTGTATCACATCCTTATTTCCCAGCACTGAATTCTCTGAGGTGAGCGTTGAGGCTCCTTGATCTCGTCTGAACCAGGTTCTGAGGTTTGAGAAAGGAAAGACTAAAAAACCTTGTCCTGTGCTTTTTTTTGCCTCAAACCTTTCTACCTTCACATTAATTAGTGCAAAGGAGGGCCAGGTGAAGCAGCATGTGGAATCCCCAAGGCCTGTGTTTCTTTCTCTCGGCCCATCTCTCTTCTTGCCTGTCTCTGTGCTTGCCACCTAAAAAAGGGATTTTGTGGCCATGCATGGCTTTGGGGTGGGGAAACTCGTCTCCCTCCTTCACCCCGGGTGAAGGGAAGGATGTGGGCTTTGGTGGGGCCTGCAGCAGGTGAGCTTCCCAAAGCAGAGGGAGCAGGGCAGGTCGGCTGTCTTTACCCCTTGGTGGACTGGTGGTGGTGCTGTACCCAAGTGGCAGACAGAAAAGGTGACTTGTTTTTGTGCCTGTGTGGTTGGTATGAAGGACGACATGCTCAAGTTCGCTCCTCCTGTTGCTTTCTCTGATCCTTGTGTCCTGCTGAAGTGTTTTGTTGTCGTGCAGCTCAGGCCAGCCTGCTCTTCATGTCTCTGGCAGGTAAACAGGCGGACCTTCTGGCCTCCAGGTAATGTATGAGTTGGGGTGGGGGGAGAGTGTCAGACGAGAACAAGTATTTGTTCCCCTCTGCCCCCCTTTGGTGTATCCTTGTGGGATGGTGATGTCTTTTCCCCTTCTGAACATCCCCTGGGCTCTGTCCCTGTCTCCCAGCTCCTTCCAGCAATCTCTGTGGCTGCTGTGCCTCTGCACTGTGAAGACACGTGTCCAGGGTCACCTCTGGTCCCATTAGTGAACACTGGTGGTGAGGAGGGAAGGGATGGCTTCTCCTGGCTTAACTGACCTCAAACCTTGGTGAGAAAGGAGGGAAATGAGCAGGAGAATGGATCCCAGATCCCTCTGTCCTTGCGTTCTCCTCATCCCCTCCAAAAAACCCTCCCTTCTGATTTCTGAGACATTGGACATACTTGCTCTTATTATGGAAACAGGAGGAGCTGGAGTTAAGGGGGTGGCAGGAGGGGCTTGGATCCAGCACCAAGAAAGGAGAGCTGTTTCTAATGCAATACACTGACATTTAAAGCTTTGGGGACTACCGGTAACAGCTTAAGAAGGGATCTGAAATATTCTGAGACTAAGAATTCAAACTGCTGTTTTCCTTCCGGTGTGGATGATGATGATGCAGTATCTTGGAGGTGGTCCAGCAGCACTTCTGAGCCTGGGGTCTGCCTGGGCCTTCTGGTAGTGTCGCTCCTGGGGTGGCCCCAGAACACCCTACTTTGGCAACGGAATGTGTGGACTTGCCAAAAACAAAAGAAGAAAAAAAAATTTTAAAAAAAGATAAGAGCGCCTGCAAAGCTCCTTTCCACTCTGTAATTTATAAACAGCAAGTAATAATGAACTTTTTGTAAGGATAAATCAAATGTACATTCTGAAATCATTTGATCTGTAAATGGTTGGATTTCATTTCACCCTTAAAGGGATGCTTAAAAGGAGGAGATAATAATAAAAATTTAAAAAAATTTACAAATTATGAAAGGAAATGAAGGTCTGTGTGTGTGGCAGCTTTTATTTCTGATCACCTGGCAGAAGGGCAGCTGGAAAACAGAGTAAGAGAAGTTTCTTCCTACTGTGGCAGCACCATGTTCCTGAGAGGGGAGATTGAAGGGAGGCCTGGGTGGTTTGGGGGTTGAGTCCTGATTTTGTGGGCCCAGGTCAGACCTCATCTTCTGCATGCAAGGGGAGTACAGGCACATGAGTGGGGAAC